TGTTCGAGGAGCGGGGTGCGGGGTTATTGGAGGTTATGGAGCCCACATTGTTTTTGTTTTTTTTTGTGGTGTGCTGACCAACAGCCGACCGGTAGATGCCAATTGGTGGAATGGTCAGCTGGTTGGTCGCCGACCAATCCAGGGGCGCTGACCGTCGGCGTGACAAATCTGTTCCAAGTTGGCTGCATCAATCCCCCCAAAAATGGAAAATTCTTTCTTGTTGAGGTTCAAAAAAGCAAAAGCACATTTCTTCTGAATTGTATTTTTTGGGGGGACAATCTATAGGCTACCAGAGTGGCCCGGGGCCACTTGCCCGGCCGGGCCAAAAATATATATAGATAATGTTTATTTCAAACTTGTTTTTTTTTTTGAAGAAAGATATGTTTCTTTATAAAAGCTGGGAAACGGGCCCGGCGTCCCTTACAAAATTAGGTGGGGCCCTCAGTGGGCGAGGCATCACCGGCCAAGCACATGGAGGGCACCACTAGATTTACACCCCACAGCCAACTCCACAACCGACTCCACAGCCCCAACTACTAAAGAGTCGATGAAATTTATCATCAAAATCTCAGTTCATCACTAAGAAGCTCTAATCACAACAGTCGTTCTTAACCGTATGAATACCCACCGACAACCCTAATTTAGTGGCCTAATTTCACAATCCCATGTTCTAGAAGGAACCAATCAACCATAACCAGAAACCCCAACCACGACCAAGAAAGCTTCAACCAACCCTCATTCCACTGATCAGCCAGCAATTATCGGGATTCACCAGTCTGACCAAAGGATGAAGCACGAAGGCCTGAAATTAATAAGGAATTCGCACTGATCTACCCTCAATACCTAATTAACAAAAGCAGTCACAACGATTCCAACTCTATACCTTAGTGTAGACTTATAGATTGCAAAATTCCTTCTACGGCGTCTACGCAGAGACTTTTCAGTTCCTCCATCTAAGTTAAAGTTAGGAAGTTTACCGCGGTCGAACTTTGATGAGCAGGGCAGTTAAGCGAAGACCGTCCAGGATGGTAGGCTCGACGGGGGAGGCAGCATCAAGCCCAACATCTCGGATGACCCCCACTGCATCGTTTGCACCGCACCTCATGGGTGGCGGGGCGCAACGAGAAACAAGCTATCAAGCCGAAGGAAAGCAGCAGCCGTGTGAACAAGATGAAGCAGCCAACGAGGAAGAGCAACCGCAAATCCGCTTCGCCAGCTTAAATCTTCAGAACCAAACACGACCATCATCTTGGAAGCACACGAATCTGGACTACCCACCAGATGGGTCATGGTAAGCACGCCCATCATGGCAAGCACAAAGAATTTCGATGCGACCCTGAGGCAAAAGTTGTTCAGTTTATTTTTCTGCATAACATAGTTTTTTCTCCTTTTCTTTTTTTTCTTTTTTTTTTGCTGGGACCTGGGACCTTCCCCTGGTCCCTGCGTGGCTAGGCCGCCTGGGAAAACAAGGTAACCCAGGCGGCGGCCCGGCTGGTAGCCTAGGGGAGAATAATATTTTATTATTTTCATTTATTTAATTCTTTTAGTGTGTAGCACCACTTGTTGGCATGCCACACAGCACAGCACATGGAGATAGTCATCCAACTCCCATTACCTTGGCAAATGTTCCTTAGGCTCTGTGCTCATCTACACCTCTCTTCGGGAGAGTCTCGTTCCATGCTCTTCCTTTCTCTGCTCTCCTCTTAAAGGGATTGGCGGGG